TTTTGTCTTTGGGCTCTTGTGTGTGGTCTACACACCAGCGGACACGGGTAATGTCTGTTGACGTCGTTTTCATTGTCGCCGCACCTTAGTAAAATCAACGTACTGTAGCGGTGATTTGACTGAATACAGACTTTCCACCTTTGGAACTTATCATCTTCTCAAATCTGTTGGAATAAGAAGTCACACGCCCCTTAATGTGATACATTCTATTCGTTAGAGTGCAAATTTCACTACGGTTATTTTAAATTTCGTATTGATCTATGCATTGTTTTTTTTTTGTAGTAGCTCTTTGAAAGTGTCGCCAGCTTTGCTTATCTGCTGGCGAGAAAGAGAGTGGTGTGGAACTTCGCTTGGTTTCTCACCCCTTGGAATTAATTTCCTGTCTGCAGTACCTTCTGTGTGGAGTTTGCATGTTCTTGTGCCCTGCAGTGGGCTGGCATTCTGCCTAGAATGTATTCCCACTTTCCGATTCTGTTTTAGACTGCACATCACTGCATCGTCCCAAACACTTTTAGAGGCTATAATCTGCTTCTGCGTTTGGCGTATAGGTTGACATGGTAGTGCAGTGGTTAGCATTGCTGTCTCTCCGTGTCAGACCCTGTAGGAAATATCCAGAGTCAGCCCAACAGAGGGTTTCAGGACCACGGGAGTAAAATGAAAGGACGTGGACTGAAAACCGAAAACAATGTGCCTTTCTGCAGTCATAAACGGATTTTAACTGGTCCTATAGATTGATCAAAAGGAAAAGGAATTCATAAAGAGCAAGCGTTGCTGAAGTAATACTCTGCTTCTAGTCTGCCCAGTACGTCTGCTGGACATCATGTGGGAACCGAGTGTCACCAGGCACGGAGCCTGTTACTGGTATTCTTGGCGGGTTTGAAATATTCCTGCCCTCCAGAGCTGCAATGGAGAATGATAACACACAATGGCAGCACACCTGCAGGAGTCTCGGGGGTTTTCCTTCTGAATGAGGGGCGGTGATGTTATACAGGATACAGGTCATGTAAACCATGGACTGCAGCACAGATGGCTCCGAAGAGGCTCCGGACGCAGTTACAATATTGATCCTTGTCTCCGTCTCAAAGATGAATACAGAATCTCCTTTCACAGGTCCCTGCTGTGAAGGACACTGGTGTCCTGGGACGAACTCCAAGATCAACTAATTTACTGGAAAAGAAGCACTGGTTGCAGAAAGACAGGTTAAAGGAACAGAGAAGCTTCCTCAGTGGGGTTTAACTCGGATACTCAGAAGCTTCAAGAAGGATAACTATACAGCCTTCTGAGCATTTTTGCCACCTCTATTCTTCCAATTGACTTTACAGGTCAAAACTGATTTCTAATCAACTAAAAGACTAAATAGACTAAACTTAAATGCAACTTCCGGCCATGGTCTTCACCAGCTCTCAAATGAAACAACATGTGTTTATTGCCCCCTGAATATATCCATCCATTTTCTAACAGCTTCACGCCATACAGGTTCGCAGGGGAGCGTATCCCAGCAAGCCACAGGTGCAGAGCGGGGCACACCCTGGACAGGATACCAGTTCATCGCAGGGCAGTCGCTCACACAAGCACACAATCCAGTTAACCTACCAGCACGGTCTTTGGACTGGGGGAGGAAACTGGAGCACCCAGAGGAAACCCCTGTGAACACAGGGAGAACATGCAGACTCCCCCCAGACAGCACCCCAGGTCCAGAAATGAACCCAGAGACCTAGCTGCCGGGCTAACTTTGGATATTTTGAAAAGGGTCTGACACCCTGTCAAGCCGCTCGTAACCCTACAGAATAGTCTTGGTGAGATTTTGCTAGTGCACTGTGGAATCGTAACTCGCCTTGTTTTAATAAAGGGCTTTTCAGCTGTAGATTGTAGTCCTTTTTCAGCTCATCTAACCAGTTTGGTAGCTAGTAGCTAACTGATCTGAGAATCTCACCCAGCTATTTCCTGCAAGATACCAGGGTATTCAATTCAACAACATGGCTGGGTTGCTTGTTTCCTGCTCTCTTGACCCTTAAGGCAAAGAAGTGTCTCCTGTTCTCAATTTAAATACATGTCTCAAGTTTCCACCTGTATCTCTTGCTGTGGTTTTTACCGAGGACAATGATGGATCCTAATAAACACCGCAGACTTTTTCAAAGGTTATTTCTCCGGTGTTGGAGCCTCCTATCTTTACTGTAAAATCCACGTGTAGCTTCATGCTCATCTACTGTATGCTTCGACCTTCTTTTTCTAAAAACCTGACTCGGATCTGAGTGACGTCACAAAGGCGTTTTTTTTCCCCCATCTGTAACGTTTGCCTCTGCTCCTCCCGGGATCGACTCCTGCTCCCGCAGCGTTTTGATCTGTTTCCGGTTTTCTGCTGAGCTGGTGGTCTTTTGCAGAAATTGTCCCATCAAAGCAGAAGCGCAAAAGCATTTGTTTTCCGTGCACAAATAGTTCTCGCCTCAGTTCCTTATTGCAATTGAACAGGACGGTCTGGTACCTGGTGCAGTTTGGAATGTAGTTATTCTGGTTTTGCGTGCCAGATACAATGAGCCCACATGCTATTTTCAGGCTTGTCAGATTGAAGCGAGAGTGTCGTACAACTGACTGGTTGAAGTGACTGTAAATATCTTCGGATCAGATCCTTTCTTAATCTTCTCTGTTCCAGACTAAAATTGGAACCCTGCAGGCTTTTTCAGAATCGGCAGTCATGCAGAGCCCAGAGGATGCAAGTGGGAGCTGCATGCAAGTGAATTTAACCATAAGAACAGGAGGCTGTTCTGTTCACAAAGGGTGGTGGGAGTATGGAACAAGCCACACAGTCATGTTGTTAAAGCTGAAACCCTGGTTTCCTCCAGGAATCGGCTACATAGGATTCTTATAATTCCTGATATTGATCCAAACTGCTGTGCAGAGTCCTTTTGAGTTTTTTCAATCTGGTTTTAAACTACATAAGGCCACACAGTTTCCATATAAGAAATTGCATGCAATTATCTGCTCCAGTACTTATCTGTTTCAAAGAGGATGTGTGTGTTTAGTTGATCTACAACAGGGTACAGGGACAAACACGGATCATGTGGTTTTAGTAAAATCAGTATGACGTTGCACTGCTCTGCCAAAGGATGAAAAGGCAGTGTAAAGTGCCGTATGTTGAATGATCTTATTTTGGATTATGTACTGAGCAAAAGCGAGTATTATTTGCTCAATGTTGGAGAAAATCCAGCTGGTAGAAATTAAAATAACTGAGATTCGGAGCGTTAAACACTTACTTTCAGAACAACCTTTCTCTGGCTCTGGGTTGATTTTTTTTTTCTTGTCTTTGGCAGTTTGTAATCTTTGGGTTTTTATATCACTGGAGTGTTTTTTTTTTACTGGTATTGTATTTCTGACTCGGTAGGTCAACTACTTTTAAATTCCACATGTTTTTATTCCTTCTGCCAGGATGTCGTAGGAGGTAGATTTCTGGGGGGACTGTGGTCATTTTGGTTTGATTTCTACAGTACCACACACTGTACATTTGTATAGTGCTACTGTGCCGATCTCCACTAATTCCAGGTCTTGCGTCAGTGTCCAGTAATAGCCGTGAATAGCTAACTGCACTTTTAAGTTGAATTAGAAATTAAGAGACCCTGTAGCTGTCTCTGCCCATGACTTGAGACCCCCCCCGATGCCCTTCTTTTTTTCCTCGCACAGAACAGAGTCTTAAATTACACTTTCATAGCTTGACTTTCATAATCCATAAAGGTTCCATAAAGGCTTTTCTGGGGATTGAGCCACTAATGGTTTCTATAAAGCATTTTTATCCCTGGAAATGGAGTGCTATCATGTCTTAATCTTTAATGATCTAGGAGCTTAGCTGTGTTTATTGTGAAATTAGCCTAGATCTTTTCAAATGTTGTCTGCAGTCAGTGCTTGGCCTTAGAAAAGTCTTGCTTTAAGTGTGTCCCTTCAGCACAGGCTGGCAAACAGGAGACGGCTGTCCTGGGTTTGTTTCTTAAACAAGCAGTTGCTCTTCTGTCCATGTTACTGGGGCTGTTAATAGGTTACCAATTCGGGACAGGGTGCACAGGTGAGGACATACACCACTGTGAGCACTGTGTGTGCCAGAATAAACATTTTTATCTCCGTTCTTTTCCCAAGACAAACCCCATTTGTGTTAAAGCATGACGAGAAGGAAGCAGGACCTGAAAAATTTGCAAGATCCGGCTTGCTGAACTTTCCAAAGCATGTCCCCAGTGCAGGCTCTGTGCCATTTCCCGATCCTTCCTGAGCAAAGGCTATCCAGCCCAGCAGAGAGGGGAGAGCCCGATCCCACTGTTTGATTAACGGGTTCAGCTGGTGCGAGTAAATACAGCTCAGCAGGCATGAAAATCAGAGGCAGGAAGTGAAGATCGTAACTGCTGGGGTAGGCAAAATAAGAATAATAGCTTACACTTACAGAGCGCTTTTTTGGACACTCCACTCAAAGTGCTGTACAGGTCAGGGGGATCCCCTCCACCACCATCACCAGTGTGCAGCCCCACCTGGATGATATGACGGCAGCCAGAGTGCATCAGTCTGTTCCCCCACATACCAGCTCTCAGTGGGGAGGAGAGCAGAGTGATGAAGCCAGTTCAGAGATTATTAGGAGGCCATGATTGGTAAGGGCCAATGGGAAATTTGGCCAGGACGCCGGGGTTACACCCCTATTCTTTTCGAGACTTTTAATGACCACAGAGAGTCAGGACCTCAGTTTTACGTCTCATCCGAAGGACGGTGCCTTTTTACAGTATAGTGTCCCCATCACTATAGTGGAGCATCAGGACCCACACTGACCGCAGGGTGAGCGCCCCCTGCTGGCCCCACTAACACCTCTTCCAGCAGCAACCTTAGTTTTCCCCAGGAGGTCTCCTATCCTGTAGTCCACGTGCTGTTTTAGGGGTCAGTCAGGTGGAATGCACCTCAGAAATCCAAGTGAAAGATTGGGATCGAAGGCAGACGGCCAGAATAACTCTCTCCCTCTTCTCTCGCTGTTGCAGGATGAAAATGCGACGGCACAGAGTGTTCTTGCTTTGCACAGTGGGTCTGTGTGTCATCTCCTTCCTGCACTACTACAAAGCCCTGCACTACGTGTCCCTGCTGCGGGAGTTGTCCGCCCCCTACCCCAACATCAAGTCCTTCATCATGGTGTCCGGCTTCTTCTGGAGGGACGGGGCCACGCCCCTGGCCAGCGCGCCGCCCGAGGAGGCCCTGCCCCGCCGGGCC